AGATGCCAACAATTTATTAGGCTGCTGTCCCTTTAAGAACATATTTGTGTGTATTTGACAATTTAAGTGCAATAAGCTGTGAAAGAGTACTGAATTCAGCATCACATGAATCTGAGAGGTGGCGTTTGTGCTTGTGCTTCGGCTGTGTGTCCGTCAGCACCAGCGCTACATTGAGCTCTTTTGCACTGTTAACTGTGATTAATAACACTTTAATGTGTCAGAAACTTTAAGTAGTACTGCGAAGTTAAAGAAATGTAACACCTTAGAAAATCATTTTTTGAAATTTGTAAATCGATGTAAATATGCAGAAGATAGAATCACGCGATTCATGTGAAACGATTTTATTCCCCACCCATACTTAAAGGGGTCATATGATGCAATTTTAATTTTTCCTTTCTCTTTGGAGTGTTACAAGCTCTTGGTGCATAAAGAAGATCTGTAAAGTTGCAAAGACTAAAGTCTCAAATCCAAAGAGATATTCTTTATAAAAGTTAAGAGTCAACCACGCACTCCTAAAACGGCTCGTTCTAACACGCCCCCACGTCTACGTCACGATGTGGGAAGATTTGCTTAATGCCGCCCAAATGTTCACGCAAAGAAAGAAGGCGTTGTTTGTCGTTTCTCCGATTACAAATGCAGACATGGTTTTATGTTTGCGCGGCGCGATTCGCAAAGCAACACGTAAAAACACAGTATAAGTCATTATAATCAGTAATTGTGTGCCCACTGGATGCAACAAATGCCTCGTTTATAATGGGTTTTAATGTTTTTGTCTCGTCGCTCCGGCCGGACAGGGCATCACAGTATGGTGAGGGGCGTAACATTTCCGTCTCACGCTTGAGGTATTCGGCCAATCACAACGCACTGGATAGCTGGCCAATCAGAGCACACCTCGCTTTTCAGAACGAAGAGCTTTGTAAAAATCGTTTCAGAAAGGCGGGGCATAGAGAAGCAACAATAATGTACAGTACGTGGAAAATAATGTGTTTTCTGAACCTTTAATCGCATAAACACATTGCATTACACCAAATACACAAAATAATGTTTGAGAGTAGCCTACAATACCGGTGCCGGTTTCTATAAAGTGGGGCAGTTCCAACTTTGCAAGGACAGTCTGGCGCTTCTGACTCACAGCCTGTAAGTACATTTTTTTATATTTAAAGAATTTGCCACTGATGATTCAAACGCGAGTTTGAGCAGTGTAGAGTAGCACTTATTGTTTGGCATTTCTCCGATCACAAATGCAGACATGGTTTTATGTTTACGCGGCGCAATACGCAAAGCAAAGCGTAAAAACACAGTATAAGTCATTACAATCAGTAATTATGTCCCCACTGGATGCAACAAATGCCTCGTTTGTAATGGGTTTTAGTGTTTTTGTCTCGTCGCTCCGGCCGGGACACGGCATCAACAGTATGTGAGGGGCGTAACAACACCTCCCTTTTCAGAATGATGAGCTTTGTTAGAATTGACATGTTTCAGAAAGAAGAGCAACAATAATGTACTGTATATGGAAAATAACATATTTTCTTAACCTTAAACCGCATAAACACATTGCATTACACCAAATACACAAAATAATGTTCTTTTTAGCAACGTCATATGACGCCTTTAAAAACAAACATTAAATGTAATTTCTATAAATTGACAGTAATTATCACAATTAGATTAGCAATGTCAATAATTAACCATTAAGAATATGTCATTGTGCAGACCTACAGTAGTGTGGTTTAGGCCTTGTTTAACCTTGTTAATGCAGAATCAAAGTTCAAGCAGCAGCTCACTAGAGCAGATGAGTTATTCACTGATGAGTCTCGGTCACGCCACACTAAACAGCGCTGTGAGATCCAGTGTGAAGAGCTTGAATTCAGCGAAGAACACAAATGACTCAGTGATTTAAACTAGTTTATATCCAGATGAAACGGTGCTGACAAACAGCAGAAACACTGAGCAATGATACAGTCAGAAGACTTTTCCATCTACAAATCACCATCATTTACCATGGATTTACTGTAGTAACACTAACGGCACCATGGTATTGTGGCAGAAATGTGGGATATTCATATCAAATTTGATTATATTATTAATATAGACATTAATTAATTGTATTAAATGAGTAATGGAATGTAAATACAGTATTTTTTGTGATTAAGCTATAGCGTTTGTGTATTTAGACTACTGTTTTTCATACAAAACTTAGAACCCATTTAGTTATATTTTTACCATGGTATTAAGGTGCTATATGTGTGGTTTTAACTGTGGTTATCATAATCTAAATGTTTGCTACTATGGAAGACCAATGGTTAATTTTAATAAAACTAAAGCAGTCAGATTAACTAAATTTCACCATATAAAAATTAGATTGTTACAATTTTTACAGATGTTCCTGTTTTTGACAATGAACATAAACTTACATCTGCATCCAAACTCAAGCTACTGTCAAATGTGCATTTCTAAGAGACAAGAAAATGTAATATTATTAATATTGCAGCCTGCACTGCAAACTGTGCTGAAAATACTTTATTTTTTCTATTAGGATATTTATTTTGTTAAGGAAAATGAGTGGAAAAGTGTAAAGAATTCAGAAACGTTAGGTGTTTGTCATGTTCTGACCATAAACAGTAGTTTAAAACCACAGTTAACAGTCTGGTTTCTACAACTTTCACTTTCATAAAAATCTGCCTTTAAACTTGAAAGAAAAAAAGATTTGAAATTTATTTTGATAATTATCGATATCGACTGAAATGAACAATTTTAGCGTGATAAATTTTTAGGCCATATTGCCCAGCCCTAATACATCTCATTAATTTAAATAATATTTTAAGGGAAGTCGTGGCCTAATGGTTAGAGAATTGGACTCATAACCTAAAGGTTGTGGGTTCGAGTCTCGTACTGGCAGGGATTGTAAGTGGGGGGAGTGAATGTACAGCGCTCTCTCCCACCTTCAATACCACAACTGAGGTGCCCTTGAGCAAAGCACTGAACCCCAACTGCTCCCCGGGGGCCACAGCATAAATGGCTGCCCACTGCTCCGCTTTGGATGGGTAAATGCAGAGCACTAATTCCGAGTATGGGCCATACTTGGCCACATGTCACTTTCACTCATGTTTTATTTGTGAACTGATGTTCAGCTGTTCTTTTAATAGTCAACTTTTGTTCATTCATCAGCCATCAAAGCTCAGTAAACACTGGTCACAGACATGAAGATGTACCTTCAGTTCCACCGAGCTGATTGCTCACTTAAACCCCACAGATCATGTTTTCAAGCCGTCTTAAGTTTGATTTTGACTTGACATAAAGTGGTTTGTTTACTTTTCTTAAGGTCTATTTTTGACGTTTTTGTCTTTATTTAAATAGGACAGTGTAGAGCTGACAGGAAGTGAAATGGGAGCGAGAGAGAGAGAGAAAAAGAGAGAGAGGAGGGGGGGGGG